ATGGCTCTATTCCAGCCAATTCCCTGGGCCCTCTCCCTTGGGGTGCAGGGACTTGAGGGAGGAGCTTCCTGAGAAACTAGGGCCTCTTCCTATGAAGCAAAGCCTTTCTCCTCCCCCAGAGAGCAGGGGAGACTGAGGCACGGGGAGACCGTTTCCCACTTCTCAAAGCCTGACATTCCACACAGTACCCCTCCCTGCTCTGGGGCTTCAGCCCTGCCTCATTCCAGGAGGAAATCCGACCCCCTCCCTTCATCCGGACCCCACTTCCCTCATTCACACCCCTCCACCCTGCTTTTCCTGTCAGCTCCTTGGTGGGAGTAGGGGGTGGAGAGGAGTGGAGAACATTGGGCAGGGATGGGGCCCACAGGCAGGGAAGGCGACAGCAGTAGCCAGGGTGGCGGGGCAGGAGGCTGGGAAGTGGGCGCAGGGCTGGAGCGGGTGGAAGCCCCTGAGCGGCCAGGTCCCCGGTGTAGGGTGCGCAGTCACGGTCTTGCTCTCCCGCTGCAGAAGCCGGCCCCACCCCCACCTAACACACCCACCTGGGCCCGGTGAGGCGCTGGGAGGGTCTCCACTGCAAAGGAGAGGTGAGATGAGGAGGGGGTGATCTGGGGATCGGCAGGGAACAGGAATGGCAGAAGCTTGCTGGACGGGAACCCGGGCACCTGCCCTCCCAGCCGGCACTGCCCGTAGCCAGCCAGCTCAGCATGGCTCCGCGACCACAGCCCTGCCATGCGCCTTGAGCTGGGAATCACAATGTACCCCTTTTCTCAGAGCCCCCCAACTGCAGCCCCTCCTCCATCATGGGTTGATCAACGTTTATTTGGTGCACCCCAAATTCTAAACCCAGGGGGCCGGCTGGGGACTGTCAGCCTCCAGGGCGAAGAACCCCATTACAGCAGTCAATCCCGCCCACAGCCTCACCCACTCCCCCTTCTCCCCTCCCCCATTCAAACCCAGCTCTAGGCGCCCAGCCCCCGTCCGGGCCTAGGGTGGCAGCCGATGCCTGCGCCCCCACCCAGCAGGGGTCGGGAGTGAGGAACCCCCAGGGGGCTGCGGAGCCGGCGCCCGCCCCAGCCCGCCCCTGGGCGGGTGTCTTCGGTAGACAATGGCTCAGGCAACAGCGCCTCGCGGACCAGGAGGGAGACAAACAAGTCGGGAGGGGGCGGTGGCGGCGAGCCTGTGGACCCCCACCCTTCCATTGTGTCTCCCCGAGACCCCCGCCCCGGACGGCCTCCCTCTCCCCCCTTCCTCTTTCTCCCAGAAACGCCGACCCCAGGTCGCCTAGCTCCCCCCCACCCAAAGCCAGGGAACAGAATACCCCCCAATTCACGAGCGCCGCGAAAAGCGGGCTGGCGGACGGGGGCCTGACCTGGGGCTCAGGCCCGCGATCGCGGCCTCTCCCGGCGGAGACTCACCCTGCGGGCTGGGAGGCTCCGGCGGCGACTTGCCGGGAGCCCGGGAAGCGCCGCCGAGCAGCAGCCCCAGCAGCGGCAGCAGCCGCGCGAGGACGCCGGGGCCATTCGGCGGCGGCATCGCGGGGCTCGGCCCGGCCCTAGCGGTCCATGGCTCCCGCCCGGCCCCGCTCGGCCGGCCCGGCTCAGCCCCAGCTCTGCGCCGCGCCGCGCTGCTCCGGATCGCGCTCCGGTTGCGGCGCCCGCTCAGCGCGATTGTCTCCGCCGGAGCCGCCGCCAGCGCCCCCTGCAGACGGCGCGCCACACCGCAGGCCCCCCGGCGCCGCCCCCTCGCGGCCCCGCGCCGCCCGCCGCCGGCCCACAGCGCAGCGCCCACCCGGCGCTCCCCGACTGCGAGCTGCAGGGAACTGCAGTGGTTAGGGTCCCATCGCAAGGGTTCTTGGGGAGTTCGAAAAACCCCGAAATTTGGTGCAAAATTTGGAGGAAGGATAATAGGTAAATAACACTCGAAAGGGTACAGTCACGAGGGTCTCAAAAAAGTGTAAGAACCTCCTGCTCTACGGCCCCTTCTTTCCACACAAACACTCAGTGCTGGGGGCTAGCTGCGCAGCCCACTTCTGAGCCTCTTACGAGGCCATGGGCAAGTTACTGAGCATTGTGGTCCTTAGTCTTCCCTTTTCTTTTTTAGACAGAGTCTTGCTCTGTCGGCCGGGCTAGAGTGCCGTGGCGTCAGCCTAGTTCACAGGAACCTCAAACTCCTGGGCTCTAAGCGATCCTTCTGCCTCCCGAGTAGCTGAGACAGGCGTACACCAGGATGCTGAGCTAATTTTTTTTTTCTATTTTTTCTATTTTTAGTAGAGATGGGGGGAGGGGGATGTCTTGCTCTTTGCTCAGGCTGGTCTCGAACTCCTGATCTCAAGGGATCCTCTCCACCCCCCCGCCCCGCCTCGGTCTCCCAGAATGCTAGGATTACAGGTCTGAGCCACCGCGCCCGGCCCTCAGTCTTCCTTTAAAATGGGAGTTGTAATACTCTCTACCAAGTAGGGTGGTTGTAAGGAGGAAACGAGAAGATGATGTAAAGGGTCTAGCACAAGCCTGACAGAGCAGGGGCGCAATAAATAGTGCTGTTGTGGGCCCAGGGTGAGGTGGGGCTCACCTCTGCCCAGGTACTCAGGTCCATTGGTGGGCAGGAGTAAAGGTTAGAAAGCTTTTCTGGAGGTGGAAGCAGCCTTTCTCTCCTGCTGAGAATAACCATTTGGTCCCACTGGTTCTGGCTTTCTGAATGACCAACGAGCTCTCTTTCTTTTTCCTCAGCCATTGAACCCACAAGACAGCAGTTGGCCTGCCCCACCTCCAGCCGAGCCCTCGTTCCTTCCAGTTCAATGTTTCTGGCTGTGGTAAATCACTCAGTTTCCACGTGGCCAAATCCTCATCTAATCTGGTATGCCTCTCCTGGTTCTGTCTGGCTTGTTACCCTCTCTTTCTCACAGTGTGGTGCCCAGGAGGGGACTGGATACTTAGGGCAGGGATCTCATCCCCAGAGAACAGCAGGCTTCCCTCCTGGTTGGGTCCACTGGTTGTGTCTTCTGACCTTGTTACAAGCATGTAGACAAAACAAAAACACCATTCTCTCCCTCTCCCTCTCTCCCTTCCTCCCTCTCTCTCTCTTCTCCCTTCCTTTTTTTCCTTCCTTTTTTCTTTTCTTTCTTCCTTCCTTCTTCCCTTTATCCCTTCCTTCCTCCTTCCCTTTCTCTCTTTCTTTTTAACAGAAATTTCCATCTAATCAGACTTCCCAGTCCTATTGTTATGTAACAAATTTTTTGGAACCTCAGCATAGGACTTAGCATTCATCCCCGGTGAATTTCATCTTGTTGGTTTCAACCCAACTTTACAATCTGTCAAGGCTGCCTTGAATCTGCTTCAGTCACCCATTGTATTGGAGCTCCTTCCCCGAGGCAGCCATCTGCGGGGTGAAGTGGCTTCCTCTGCCTCCATTCAAAGGGCTCATGACCTTGCCAGGCAGCCCAGGGCCAGAGTGGAGCTTTGAGACACCCCCATAGAGATCTCCTTCAGCTTTATGGGACTCGTTCAAGTCTAAATCTGAGTCTTTATGATCCAGCTCACATTTCTCTCTTGTCTGTAAGGACAAATGCCAAATGCTTTGCTGGATCAAAATAAGTGGTCTGGGGCCATCCAACTGCAATGACAGAAGGGGGAGGGAATTTGGCTGGTGCTTAAGGATCATGGCTTAATTTTTTCTGAAATGCTCACAGTCACCCAACTAGAAACCTGTTCTGAAACTTGCCATGCGTGGATGTCAAATTATTCTTTTCAGAATTTGCCATTTACGCCTTTAGGCAAAATGAAATACCAGCAGCTCTTGCGAGGTAAGTCTGTTCATCGGTGGCTTCCCCCAGCACTTGGCATCAAGTCCGAAGTCCTGTCCATGGTCCCAGGGTGTGCCTGTCTACCCCCCTACCTCATCTTCTGCACCCCTCACCAACTCACCTCCAGCCACGTGGGCCTCCTTGCTGCTGTGTAAACACACTAAGCCTGTGCCTTCCTCAGCCTCTTCGCTGGCTGCTCCTTCTGCCCAGAACACTTTATCCCCTCAGCTCGTGGCCCATTCACTCATCGCTTGCTCACGCCATCAGGGAGGCCTTCCCTGACCACACTACCTAAAATGCCAACCGCCTCCCTACACCCGCAGACGTCCTATCACCATCTCCGTACCTTTATGTGCACTCACAGCACTGACCCCCACTGACCACCACTTGCTTATTTGTTTACTTTTTACCTGCATTTGCATGTGAGTTCCATGAGGACAGGGACTTCACTTTGTTCACTCTCAGTCCCAGCACCGGACTAGTACCAGGCACAAGGCAGGTAGGTGCTCACTAAATATTAACTGAACACATGAATCAACAAATCCCTCAGGACTACAGGGGACCTCCCCACCTCTGTCCCCAACCCCAGTCACCCCAGTTGGAGAGTTGTCTTCCACTCCTCACCCTCTCTCCTGACTGAAGACCCTTCTTGGTGGGGAAGCAGGAAGAGCAGGGTAGCCAGGGAGCAATGTCTGCTCCCCTCTCCCGTGTCACACTGCCTTCCTCAGGCTAAGGGCTTAGCCAGCCTCCCTCTGCCCCTTCTCACTCCGAACACAGCTTTAAAAGCCGTTTTTGGTAGGAAGGCAGGGAGAGCATGTTATTTTCCCAAGCCTCAGGTCATCATGAGGTTTACCTCTTCAGAATCATAGAGTATATATACTATTATATTTCAAGCTGCCCCCATCCCAGCCATCGTCAGACACGCCCGCTCCCCAACCCTCCCATCCCACCCCTGCCCCATCTCTCCTGGAGGCCCTGCCCCCCTTTCTCCCTCATTTCTTTCATACCTGCCCCCCCACCATGCTGTACTCCCTGACACTCCCCAAAGGTGGTGATTTGCAACCTTTGCCCTGGCAGAGACCCTGTCTGCTCACACCTCCACCAGCCCTAGGTCCCCCCTCCTCCTCTGGCCCCAAAAGGAGACAGCATGCTGGGGTTTGGGGCTCAGCCTCTTTATTAGGCAGCAGGAAAGGGGGTGGCCCAGCTGTGTGGGGAGGGGAAGAACACCAGCAGGCCCCCCTGGAACAGCTCCAGCCCATGGGTATGAGAGCTCCAAGGCAGCTAGTTGGAGAAGGCGCACAGCAGGCACCACACCCAGCCTTCCTGCTAGAACAGAGCGGGCTGCACCGTCACTCCTCCTCTTCATCTTCTTCTTCCAGGGGTGGCTGATTCCGCTTGAAGAAGCCAAGCTGGGGGTGCACAGGGGCCAGGGTGAGGGTATAGAGACGATCCTTAGGCCCCCGAGCATCGGTAAGGAAGTGTGCTAGAAACCAGCCAGCTATGAGGTCCTCTCCCTGGACCAGCACAGAACACGGACCCCACTGTGTGCATTAATAGAGGCCTTTCACCATTTAGGGAGAATGCACGTAACGAATAGTTGATTTTCCTTTTTTAATTTTTGGCTTTTCTCCCCTGAATTTTTCTTAAATACCGATGTTTGTGTCTATATGAGTCAAGCACATTATGATATGTGTTTGATTATTATAGGTCTAATGTGCAGTTTTCCCTAAAAGCACAATGTCTTCCCAGGGCATGAACACTTGTCTCCAGGTGCAGAGGAGTGACTGACCCTCCAGGGCTCCTAAGGAGGAAGGAGCAGGGTCTGGACTAGTCCTTGGGTCTCCTGCCTCACTCAAGGAGAAGGACAGAGCCGTGAGAAGGTGAACTCTGTCCTCCTCAGCCACGAACTCCTGAAGGCAGGACTCATTCCCTCTGACTGTTTGGGGGGCTAAGGCCTTAGGATTTCAGGTGCCACCCCTTCCAGGGATATGTGCCTGGAGGAGGTCCCCTGAAGAGTGACATTCTAATAGTGGAGACATAGACCCTCAGCCACCATATCTCCCCACCTCCCAGTGAGGTAGGGCAGGGGCAAGCCTGTGCCCACCTGGGGACTCCACCCTCCTTCACGCCTCACCTTCCACATGGCCAGGACCAGGAGCGTGAGCAGCAGCAGGCCGCCCAGCGCGCCCACCAGCACCCACCAGATTGGAATAGGCCTTTCCTCAGGGACCCGAAGCAGCTTTGTCCGCACCTGGGAGCAAACCCACGGGTCTCCTCAGTCTCCTTGACACCTGCCTTTCACACACACTCAAACCTGGGGCTGGTGAGCCCCAGCCAAGCCACCACCTCTCAGACCGAGGGAGGCCCGCCCCCATCCCTGCTGGGCACTGCACGGGAAGACCCGTGGGTCCTGCAGGACTCATCTCCTCTGCTCGGTCCCTCCACTCTCACCACAGCTTCCCCGCTGGGCAGGCTGAGCGCGGGCACCGTGTAGGGAAGGGAGGAGATGTTGAACCAAGCGTGGGACTGTAGCTCAAACTGATCCAGGGGCCTCTGGATGGGGTGGGGGTGAAAGCCATTTACACCCACGGGAGGCCTATTGGTTGCAGGAGTCCAAGCCCCAGACAGCCCGCTGGAGGGCCCCGCCCCTGACTCATCCCGCTCGCGACCCCCAAAGAAAGCCTTGACTTAGCTCCTTTGCCGCCCCCTGAAGCCCCGTCTCTCCCTCGGAAGGCCCCGCCCCGGCCCCGCCCACCCAGCCCAGCCCCACCTGGCGGAGACTGGGCAGCCACAGGAAGGCCAGCACGGTGACCATGGCCCGCTGCCCGCGCGCCATCTCCTGCAGCTCACACTGCACCACCGTACAGGGCGCCGAGTCGCAGCTCTGAGGGAACGAGTCATCAGTCCCCAGCCCCTCCTGGCCCATCATCACTTCCTCACCCCAAGGACCCAACACAGAGGGAGCCAGGGAGGTCAGGAAGCTCGGGCCTCCCCGCTGGGGAAGGGCCTCGGATTCAAGCTTCCGATGCTATTTCTACGCGGGCATGTTCACATACTCCCGGAGATGCAGGGAGAGGGCTGGAAGAAGTGGGTCATCCTACAGCGTTCAGTACCCAGATTTTTTGTAACCCTGCCTTGGCACTTTTTTTCATTTTCTTTAATGTACTGGGAAGCTTAAAAAAAGGCAAGTGTCTCTCATCCCACCCTAGTTACAAGTCAGCATACCTCTTCCCGTTCGCCTGGAGTGCTCTGGTGGCCCACCTGAGGCTCACATCACACCCCACACTCTGGGCCCCTCTGCCCGCCTCCCACCCCCTCTGCCCCTGGGCCCCAGGGTGGTCCTAGCCGGAGACCACAGAGTCTGCTCACCACGAGAACCAGGTCCGGAAGCTTGGAGGGCTGCTTCGGCCCTGGCGGGAAGGCCTGTCTACGATCCCGCCGGTGATGCCCGGGGTGACTGGGGGAAGGGCTGGGGGTGGGCAGCCTCCAGTCCAGCTGGGCAGGCAAAGCAGCAGTCAGGCCTGGTGGTCTGCCCATCTACCCCATCCAGAGGTGCCCCAGTTGTGGGTTCGGGCCTTCCCCACAGTCTCACCTTGAGAGGGTTGGGGGAGGGCTGTGGGGAGCACTCAAGGCCCCCCTGCGGCTGTATGTCCAGGATGTAGAGCAGGTCAGAGGGCTGAGACTGGCTGGGGAGGTGGATGCTGAGGCGGAGGCCACTCACAGTCCCAGGGCCGTTGTTGTGGAGCTGGGGGTGGTGGGGATGGCAGGTGGGCAGGGGGCTCCACATCCAGCCCATAGCTCTTAGGACCCTCTCACCTCGTCCCTAGACCCAGAGGCCCCTCCCTACCTCATAGGTGTGCTCCACTTTGGGCCCCAGGCTGTCCAAGCTGTTCTGCTCCCTGTCACCTTCTTCTGTGGCCACCACCAGGGAGGCTGGAAAGGAGTTCCTACAGGTGCCCAAGCCCCCCAGAGAGAGTGTGATCCCCTGACTGGCCTGTGGAGGGTCCCCCAGAGCCCCGTGAACTTTAGAGCCCTGCCTGCCATCTCCCCTTTCCAGCCCTGGCTTCTCACCCTCGCAGCTCCACTTGGGCCTCTGCCCGGACCGGCACATTCAGCTGCACAGTCTCGCTGTTTGGATTCTGGCTGTTTTTGCTAGAGGGGAGGGGGTGTGGAGAAGCAGGTCAGTGACAGCAGCCCAGTGACTCTCTGGGGTGAGGCCAGAATTTTAGAGGGCTCAGGGAGAGCTAATTCCACAAACAGCATGCCACACTGAAGTTAGATCTGGGAAAGAACTTCCTCTAGGACTCCAAGACTCAGACACAAGTCTCTGAGGAACAAAGGGAACAGGGAGTTCTGAAGATCAGGCATCTCAGAAGACCCTCCTGTGCAGAAGGGGCCTGAGGGGCTCTGCATCGAGGTCATATAGGGGATGGGGGTGGGTAGGAGTGCTCCCAGGTCAGTACCTCCTGATCTGCAGCTGGAAGGACACATATTCTCCAGTCTCTTCCAGGTTCCCCACGCTCACCAACATCGTGATTCCTATCTGGGAGACAGGGAGAGCCAAAGTCACTGCCCACATGCCCACGCTGGGCAGCCCTGCCCTGAAAGTGGCATCTAGTCCTCACCCTCCAAGGTCTCACCGTTATTATCTCTGTTTTACCTAGAAGCCCATTCAGAGGGGGAAAGTCACTCACTCAAGAGCATGCTGCTGGGGAGCGTGAGGACAGGATTCGAGCCCAGAGCTATCTAACCCTCAAAGCCAGCCCCTAACACCTGGCTGTCCACCAGTCCCTGGTGGAGACCCAGCACCCAAGACTCGGTGGCCTCACCTGGGCGTTCTTCTTCATGGGGTTGCCTAGCTCACACAGCACCACCTTGGTCTCGTTCTCCTTCTTCTGGTTACAGGTGAGCCTCTCAAAGCCCTTCAGGGAGGCAGTTCCGAGAAAGAAGTTGGTTACAGATCATCCTGTATATACTGAAGCTCCCTTGGAAAGTCTGGAAAAGACTTGCGTGCCAGGGTGGGAGGGTGGATTTCCTGGGGTGAAATTTCAAGGGACTGTTATGTTCTGTTATATGTATTGCTGTAGCACTTTATTATTTTTTATGAATTTTCATTTTGGAAATAAAAAACATAAAACATTACATAGAGTATGACCCCATTGTTATAAACTACATCGATCGAATAAAAAATAAATACGTACCTATGTGAGTGCCTGTCAATGTTGGGAAAAAAGACTAGGAGGAAATCCATCCAATGTTAACAGAGGTTCCTGTTAACATCTGGTTCTCGAGCCATTTTGAGGGGTTTTATAATAGGGCTCTTGAATTTTGTGCCATTAGCAAGTATTCCCCTTCCAAATTAAAAAAATAATTACATCTTTTACAGTAAAGCATAAAAGAAGGGGGAGCTCTCAGGGAGGGAGATGAGAGTCGAGGCTCTGCGCCTCCCAGGCCCCGGGCAGTGCTTGCAGGATGGGGCCTCACCTCCACGTTGCTGAGAGCGTGCATGTAGTGGGCCCCCGGGGGCAGGCGCGTGGCCAGCTCTGCCTCGTAGGCCCCCTCGCCCTTGTTGGCTGCGTCCATCTGCAGCTCTAGCACATTATCTGCCCCAACTAGGAGCGGGGAACCCGTCCTGTAGGGGGAAAAGGTGAAGCCAGGGAGGCTGGGGCCAGGACCAGGGGCTGGGAGGAGGGGAGGGCACCCAGGTGGGGAGCGGGTATCACGGGAGCAGAGAGGGCCAGGGGAGGGCAGAGTGGGAGGTCTCACACGTTGGCATTGAGCTGAAGCTGGGGCACACACACATTGTCTTCCCCACAGTCCAGGACAATGCGGGTCTAGAGGGGGCACAGCAGGGTGTGCAGGTGAGCTGGGAGCATGTGAAGTTGGGGGGTCACATCAGGGTTAGGGAAACAACAGTGGGCTTGGGGTTCACATTAGGGTTTAGGGAATAAGAAGATCTGAGGATGAAAGGGAGTTTGGAGATGACATCAGGGCTCTGGGGTTTATATGAAGGTTTAGGACAATGTCAGTTTTGTTGGTGATATTGGGGCTTATGGATTTACATCAGAGTTTAGGGGATATTGAGATTTTGCAGTTTTCATTAGGGTTTAGAATGACATCAGATATTAGAGGTGACATCAAGGTTTCGGGGTTCACGTTATGACTTGGGCACTAACCCTAACCTTGATTTTCTATCAGGGGTCCTGCACCTCCTTGCCTGCCCCTGCTTGTCCCTACCTGCTCCTGGACATGGGTGTCTCCATGCAGCACGACAGCAGGGGCTATTCCAGCCTCCTTGGGGGGCAGGGACACATTGAGGCTGAGCACGATGGGACTTAGCTTGTCCCGGAAGTCTGCCTCGTCCTAGGAGGGGAGCAAGAGTCAGGGCATCTTGCTACTATGCACATTACACCTTTTCCTGTCCAGTAGGCACCACATTCTACCGACCGCCCCTGGATGCACAGCACCCAGCCCAGTGCCCCGTGGTGGATGAGCTCTGCACACCCAGCCCTGCCAATCTCCAGCTGCACATACTCGAAGGAAGGCCGTGGTGGTTTGGCAGATGGGGCTGTGCCTTCCTCCCAGGTCCAGGTTCAAGGTGGTGCTTGCCTGTTGAGAGCCCAGGAGGAGCACCCGCCGGCCCTGGCGGGGCTTCTGCCTGTCCAGCTGCAGCTCGGCATTTAGGTCTGGCAGGGCAAACAGGAATAGTCAGGGTCTCCCCGGCCAGCCTCCAGAAGAGCCCAGGCCCACCTCCTGCCCTCTCCATGCCACTCACGCAGCTTCTGAGGAATGTTGTGCCCAGTGGCTCCCACACACATCTGGATGTTGAAGCTGCAAAGACAGGAGTGGGGCTCAGGGGCTAGGGCCTTTCTGAGGTCCCAGATCCTGCCTGGCTCATGCCCTCCGCCTCCTCACCAGCTCACTGGTGTCTTGGTCTGGGGCAGGACACAGTTCTTCACAGTAGGATTCAGGGAATCTTGCACCAACAACTGGACAGTGGCTATCACCACTGGCTGAGCTCTGATAGGGTGGATGGGAAGAGGCTTGCCATTGCAGCCTCTCCTGGCCCAGCCTCCTCTGATGGTATGGGCCCTTCCCCACACCGCCCCTGGAGCAGCGCTTACCTGTACACAGCCACCTTGTTGGCCCCATAAGCTCCCACCAGCAGGTCTATAGACATTGCAGGAGGGGTCAGAATTAGCAAGTAGAGAGGGCATGGGGTCCTCATCTCATCTTCCCAGGGGTTCCCCATACTGCTTTCCCCATCAGAGGTTTGACCTGGCCCCCCTGGCATCCCAGCTGTACAGACGGGCCAGAGCCCATAGTGGGGCACCAGGTCAGGCGTGGGCCCCTGGCTGTATCTCTCAGCACTTCCAGCAAACGCCCAAGGGCCTTTCTTGGGCATTTCTAGCTGGGGGCAGTCCAGGGTCACCTGGATATCCATTGTCATCGATGTCTACAGCACCTCGAAGGGAGAAGCCAAAGCCAGAGCCTGGGGGGAAGGGGCTGTCCAGGACCTGGGAGGGGTGTGAGCTCAGCCCCTCACTCTGACCCAGGAACACCAGCACTTGGCCCCGACCGCTGGGACCCCCGTAGGGGGCAGCCACTGCAACATCTGGAAGGAGTAACAGAAAGCGAGCGGCTATTTATTATTTAATCCCCCAGGGGACTTTGTAAAACTTTCCTGAGCTCCATTTCTGGACAGATCCCAGGAGACTAGGAAAGGGCCCTACCCTCCAGGAGTTTACGATCGGGTAGGTGAGAGCCCTGTGAAGCAGAGTTGTTATAAAAACAGTAACAGTCCTCACTGTCTACTGAGGAGAACTACTGACAAGATTTCATTTAATCCTGAAAATTAGGCATTATTATTCCCATTTTAGATGAAAAAACTGACTCAGAGCCACACCATGGGCTCACCATCACTAATAACTTTTAAGATTACCTTTGAAAACTTCTTAATCATCATAATCTTATTATTTTGTAAGAGTTCTTTGCATGTGATAGGAATTAAGATCTTTGATACATATGTTCCAACTGTCTTTGTTTTCTGACTTTGCTTATCGTATGTTTTCTGTGCAGTTTTTTAATTTTAAATATCTTTATTGATATTTCTTATCAAGTTACACAGTGCTCATCTGAACAGACCACACTCTGACCACAGTCCTATCTGCAGGCCCTGGGCTTCCACTCTCTCCTGATCTTTGGTCTCCTCCTCTCTTCACTTATTTCCTGACCATTTGATCACTCTTGCCATATCCTCAGCCTTCTTGCCCCATTGCCAGTCCTAGGCAACCCTTGCCAGACCCCACCTTGGACTAGTTCAACCCAGGGTTGCTGGAGAGATGGAGCAGATTGGCTGATCTCCAGCCTTCACTCGATGCTGCCTAGAGGCAGCCTTGCAGGGCTTTCTGCTCAGCTCCTTCTCCCAGTCTGCTCAACACCTATTTCTCTTTTTAGATATGGTGGCTTGTTAAGTTGCCCAGGCTGGACTTGAACTCCTGGAGCTCAAGTGATCCTCCTGCCTCAGCCTCCCCAGTAGCTAGCTAGGACTACAGGTATGTGCCACCGTGCCTGGCTCTAGCACCTATTTCTAACCTCCATTTGGTCAATTTCCCGGCCCCCCATTTCCTTCAGTAGGTGACCTCATCTCTTACTTCACAGACAGAAGCAGCCCAACTGTTGCGCTGTAAGTCCGCACCTACTTTCTTTCCTCTTTCCCCATCTGACCCTGGAATAGGTGTCCCTTCTTTACACTGCCATTGGGCTGAGTGCTCCCCTGCTCCAGGCATCACAGGGATGTCTGCTGGCTCATCCCCCCATTTCCCATTTTCTTCCACATTCAACCTACTCCATATTCTTTCAAATGGAAATAATTTTCCTTTGACCCTCATCTCCTTTCCATGATCATCTTTTCTCTTGTTCCTTTCATAAAGGAAAAAGCTTGCGCTCTGCCCGGCTCTCCATGTACAGCAGAGCGCCACCAGCAGGTCATGCTTCCTGTGGGCCAGATGGGTGGTTGTGTGGGGCTGGGCTATTCGAACTGGTTGAAAGAGCTGTCTACCCTGGCTGCCTCCAATTCTTCACCTCCATTCATACCTTGCCCCATGGCATTCTAGTTTCTGTCCCTATCCTGGCCTGAATCAGTTCTTGTCACTGTCACCAATGACCTCCTTCTCGCTAAAGCCCATGGATATTTCTCCAGCCCCATCTAATGGTGCCTTTCAGCAGCAGCAGGAGCCACCAACTCCCCCTTCCTCCCGCTTAAAGCACTGTCTTCCTTTGAGTTCTGGGCCATCAGATCTCCTGGTTTCCCAGCTCTCTGGACACTCTTCTGTCTCCTTCCCAGACTCACCTCCTCTGGGAGTCTCCTAAATGCTTGTGCTCCCCAGGACTATCCCGGGCCTCTTCTCATTTCTCAGGCTCCCAGGACCTCATCTACCCTCCCCAATCCCCTATTTCCCACTCAGACCTCTCTTGTGCAAGGGGAGGCAGCCACACCCAACTGTCCTCTGGATATTTCCACCTGATGCTCCCAAGCCCTTCAAGCTCCACAGGTCCAGAGCTGATCTCCCTCCTCCCCCCAGACCTGCTGTGTGGGCTGAGGGCCAGGCAGCGAAGAGCATCACACCCACCTAACTTCTCTCTCTCCTTTAGCCCTACTTCCAGTCTGCCATCAAGTCCTACTAATCTAAGTCCTAAATAGCTGTCATCTCTAATTTTGCTACCAAAATCAACGTCCAGGTGATCACCATCTCTTGCCTGAATTAAGGCAGACACATCCTAACAGGTTTCCTTTAACTCGTCTGTCTGCTCTCCATGCAGTGGTCCCCATGTGTAAACCACATATATGATGGAGTCACTCCCTGCTTAAAGCCCATCCTTGCTCCAGCTGCCCTAAGGTCAAGTCCATGCTTTTTGTTGTGGCTGTTAACCCCTCTGCAGCAAGGTGGGTTCCTCTCTTCCCTCACCATTGTAGCCATCCCGGTTGAGGTCGCCCAGAGGCGCAATGGCAGAGCCAAATCGCCCGTAGAGCTGTGTGCCAGTCAGCAGGAGGCTGGGGGAGCCCAGGGCGTGAGGGCTTCTGGGCTGCAGGAACAAGTACACACGCCCCACCTCGGCCAGCTTGCGGTCTGCCCGGCTCTCCATGTACAGCGGAGCACCCACTAGCAGGTCATGCCTCCTGCGGGCCAGATGGGTGGTTACGTAGGGCTGGGCTAGGGGGATGTTGGGGCTAGGGCTAAATCTCGCCCACCTTCGCTCTCCCGCTCCCTTGGGGGGACCCGTGAGGATGGGGGCTAGGAAAGTAAGAGACTGAGGGCAGCTCCTGCCTCTGGTAATTGGGGACCCAACTGAGTAGAGGTGGAGAGTCCCGCTCCTCACCCATCCCCGTTGACGTCAGTGACGGCTACTGAGTGCCCGAAATACGAAGCCGTCTGCAAGAAGATGAGAAGCATCTTAATTCACGCCACGGGACCCTGCACCCTCTCTTAGATATTGGCCCTCACATCTCGCGAAATATTCTGGGGTCTCAGTTGCCCGGCTTTGGACACTCCCTTCGGGACTCGGCCCCTACCTGCTCTCCGTGCAGCCGGTGCAGCGTTTGGAAGTACGAGTCCAAAATTTCCACCTGCACGGACAGCGCACGGGCGCGCGTCACTCTTGTTCCTTACCGCAGCGTCCCGCTCCAGTTGAGAAAGGGCAGGAGGTTTGGGGGAAGGAGGGGTTGTCACCCTGAGGACTGGGGTTGGGGGCTTTGGGATGCCGCGCGGCAGGGCGGGGGGCACTCACCGCTCCCAGGGTCCAGCTCCAAGTAGGGGCACCGAAGACATACTCTGGGGAGAGCCATAGAACCTCGTCCCTCCCGCTCTCCATTCCCCCGCCCAGGGGAAATTTTGGTTCAGGGAAGATTTCGGTACCCAGGGGAGATTTCAGGGAGGTGCTCCTCCCCGACTGGGCTTCCCAACCTCCGCCCCTAAGTGAATTTCTTGCCTGTAGTTCTGAGATCCCCGTCGAATTCGCCCACGGCCACTGAGTACCCTGAGGACACAGCGCTAATTAGTCTTTAAGGGAGAGCGAGGCAGGGAGCAGAGGGGGACAAGGAGCCCAGGGGACTGGAAGGCCATCCGGCCCAAACCCTGCATTGCGCAGATGGGAAAACTGAGGCCATCAAGACGCCAAGACCTGCCCTAGCCTGCAGTGCAAGTCCACGGAGGGAAGGGAGAGGTGGCGTGCATGGGAGTTGGGCAGTCTGCGGGGAAGCCGCAGGAGCAGAGGGAGGAAGACGCCTTAGGCCCTGGGGCTGCCCAGCTAGGGTTGGCACTGAGGCCCCCTCAGAGGCAGGACCTGACCATCTGAGGTGGGTGGGGACTCTTAGCGTGCTGGGAAGCCTGGAAGGGAGGTGCCAGGGTTACCCCGGTAACCGTCGAAGTACTCTGGGCTGCTGGAGTCCAAGGTGAAGCTCTGGGTGGGCACATTCCACAAAAGGGTGCCCGGGCGGTAACTCGAGATGATATTGGCAATTGGAGCCCGGGCCAGGAGACCTAGGGCGTGAGGGACAGGGGTTGTGGGGGTCCAGACGCCTGAGGTCTCCCCAGGCAGCGAAAAGGCAAGGAGGTGTACGGATAGGCACGTACCTACGAAAAAATAGCCGCCAGGAGCCCCAAGCACCAGTTCTCCAGCCTGAAAGGGAAGCCCTGAAGGTGAGAGGGGGCCCAGTTCAGGGGCTGCCCCCACGTCGCTTTTGCTCCCTACTTGCCTGGGTGACCACTGAGCTGAAGCCAGCTTCACAGTAGCGCTTGTCCCGGTCTAGAGGAGACAAGGAGGAGGGGTCAGCGAAGGGGCGGACCAAGAAGAGTGCACTGGAGCTTGGAGCAGGGTAGGGGCGGAATCATGTAGGGGCGGAGCCATGGGGTATCATACAGAGGCGTGGCCTTGAATCGGCGGGGGCGGGGCGGGGCCAGAACCTGGGCCTTTGGGTGGCCACATCCAATGCAAGGTCAGGGGCATTGTGGGAGGGATCAAATGAAGGGCGGGGCTAAGCGGTAACGAGAGGGCGGAGCCAAAACGTAGGGCAGAGCTTACCAAAATGAGTTTTTGCATAAACACCGCTCATGGTGTTCGCTCTGCAGGGGGAGTACTCCGCGCGGCCGCCGTTTTGGAGCTGAGCCAAGAAGCAGCCACCGACAGGCGTCTTCTCAGCCTCCTCGGTCTTTTCTAGGGCGTTCCAGTGCTGCCAGGGGGCGCAAGCCTGGAGCAGGGCCACAGGAGAGTGGGGAAAGGCGCGAGACTTGGGCTTCCCCCCATGTCCCTGCCCCCAACTGTTCCGTGTGCCCTGTACCGCGGGGGGCCCACCACAATGATGTCGCTCCAGCTGACGACCGATGCCCCCAGTCCTTGCCGGGCCTTGAATGTTTGCAAAATTTGGGAGCCTACATTTCGGGTCTCATCACCTGGAGGGCACAAGAAGGGGTGCAGTCGCTGAAGTCGCTGCCCAAGTCCCTCTGGTCTCATCCCTTCCCCTCTTTGACTGGGACTCACTGACGTCGAAGAGCAGTGAGGTGCACTGGCCGCCCTCGGCCCTCCAGGGGCACAGGAACACGCCACCCGTCTCCTCTTGGCTGGGGCCCAGGGCCCGCGGGGCGCCCACCACGATAGACACACTGCATAGGGAAAGCTGGGTGAGCACGGCGCAGATTCCGGCGTATCCCAGGCCCCAGGGCCCACCGTCCAGAAGGCGGTGTGGCATGGGAAGGGGCACTGGACCATCTCTCCTCAATGAGACCTCACAAATCCTCTTCATTTTATAGTCAGTGAAACTGACTCTAAAGCGAGAGAAATCACGTTGTCTAAAGTGACCCAATGAATTGAAAGTAAAGCTGGGACTACAACCATTTGGTTTGATTTGAACATAAGGGGTTTGATATCTTTGCTGAAAAAGACCTCTTAAACTCTGTACACCATCCCGCCCTTCCACTTCCAACAAAAACCAGGGATTCCCATGCTCCCTAGAACGCCCGTCTAGACTGTTACCAGATCCCTTCTTGAGAGGTGGTTTTAATGGTGAGGCTTAAGGGAAGCTAGAGGGTACCACTAAAGTGGGAGGCGGGGTGTTGACAGAGCCGAGAATCCTAGCAGATCTAGGTTTTTTAAAACTTATTTTTATTTTTAAAATTTTTTGTAGAAATAGGTCTCACTATGTTGCCCAGGTAGATCTCCAGTTCCTAGCCTCAAGCAATCCTCCTGTCTCCTAGGACTCCTAAAGTACTGGGACTACGAGTGTGAGCCACGGTGCTGGGCCAGATCTAGGTTTAAATCATAGTTCTGCCGTATGTAAATTAGGAATGATAAATACCAACCAATCTATGCTGTCAGGAGGAGGATTAAATGTAATAAATGTATGAGTGACAGCATGGTCCCAGTCATCATGCTTTTGAAAAAATGCTATAATTTTTTTAGCATGCAGGATGTTTAAGTAGTGCCCATGGCACTTTCTGGTAGAAAGAAAGGGGAGAAGTAGGAGTGGGAAGAGGAAGGAGCTGAGCTGAGATTCAGGGCCAATAACAGCATGGCCAATGCCTGGGAGCTCTACAGCTAGAAGGATCCTTCAGAATTGTCAGAGTTGACTCAGGAGGGCTGGACCCTTAGCTCCCTTCTCATTGATCAGTCACTGGATGTGGGCCACTGTGGGAAGGGGACTTGATTTTCGGTGAAGTGGCTCTCTTCAGCAGAGGAAATATCCCAATTGGCTGAAGGCCTGAAGGCTACCTGCCGTTGCCACACCCCGAAGCCGGGTTGCACAGTGTCCACCACGATTAAGTAGCTCAGGCATGCTCTAGTTTCCCTTCAAAATGAACAAATCTTTTGCCTTTTACTAAAGATTTCTGTGGAGAGGAACATTAAAAAAAAAAAAAAAGTAGCTCAGGGTACACAGCTATGAGGAAGAGCCAGGACTGATCAATAGTAACCATTAATGATCTATTGCTTTTCAAATATCTATAATTTTGATGGGGATGAAGGGAATGGACTAGAAAAGCAGGATGGGGTGGTAGACAATTACAGTTTTGCAAATCAATTTAGGACATGTGCTCCTCTGTTTTTTGAGGTGTTGAGGGTGGAGTGGGTCATACAACTAACCCTTGGGGGAAAAAAGGCATCAACTTTTGTCTTCCCTTTGTTCTTGCTGTAGTTTCAGTGCCCATCTTCCCACTGGTGCCCCTCGCTGACACCTTCACCTGAATTAGTCCCTCCCCAGCATTCCTGACAAGAGCTCAACCTGAATAGACCCCAGAAATCACCTTGCTCAACTGCTATCACGAATGGGGAATTTGAGGCCCACAGAAGCAGTGATGGGGAGCAGTCATTTTCTCTCCCAACATCCAAACTTCCCCCAGGGCTCACCTCCCATGGCTGTCCTTGTGGAAGTCCAATGAAAATCCAAAGTGGCTGGCATTGGGGCCTGTATAGAAGGTGACCCGCACTGGGTCCAGGTTCAAGGCACAAGCAGGAGGGGCAGCACCAGGTCCCAAGAGCAGCAGCACCCACTCCAGAAGCCAGAGGGCATGTAGTAGACACAAAGCTTTGGCCATCTTCCTTCTCCCACAAGCTCCTAGGCACGAATGGATCAGATCCTTCCTCTTCCCTTCAGTTTCCACTACAGGAAGTCTTTTTTTTTTTTTTATCAAACTGGAACCCAAAGTAACTTGCTGAGCAGTGGGCAGAGCAAAGGGCTATAGCTTCTGGACCCCATATGGGCCCTAGGATTGCCAGGAAGGGGATGAGGCCACCCTGGGGGTGGATGCTTATGGCTGAAAGCCATGACTCCTCCCTTTTCCTGAGAGCAGTTTATAACCAAGTCCTGTTGGTTCTGCCTCTCAACTCTGTCTCTTGGATCTTAACCCCAGCTCTACTACCACCATGCTAGTCCGACCTCCCATCACTTTCTACTTGGGATGGTGGAGTTGTGAACACAGGTCCATACAGCTCTACTCTAGGCCACAGTTCTTCTTCTCCCTCCCTCATCCAGCTGGCTGCACTGCTGTGGCACTTTGTGACTTGGCCAGAGGTGGGGGAAGGAAACTTCTGCTGCCCCCTGATATGACCTGAGGCTGCTGTGTCTTTTTTTTGGATAAGCCACTTAGCCACTTCCTCCTTCTAGGGCCTTGGGCAGCCTCAGCCAGCCATATTAGTGCAGCAGCATCCTCAAGTCTCAGTGTGGTCGCACCAGTGGAGCCAGTGTGAGGAACTTGGTGGTGAATGGATTTTGGCCTAAGGGGCAAGGAGACGGGGATAATGTGGAGTCATTCGGGGGTATTTTGGCTCACAGGCTCTGAGATTATGCACTAGCTGCTCAGTTGAAGGCAGGCCCTACCTCCTTTTTGGGTGATGGAGCTCTTGTCCAACCACCAAGACTTGATTCTGGTTGGTATTTTTGCTTAGGGGAAGCCTCCCCTGACTCCTCAGGCTGGCCTCCTGAGCTAACACACAAGGGAACAGCACTGATTACACTGTTTAGTCACGGTCTGCTCACAGGATTATGTGAATGGGCTCCTTTCTGCAGCCCCAGAGCCTAGCCAAGAGTCCAGCGTGCAGTAGGCCAATACCTGAAAGATTGAATGGAAGCACACATTAAGGATGGAAGATGCAAACATAGGGTGACAGCGAAAAGAAGTAAGTTTTGAGCAGAAAGCCAAGGTCATTCTTTTTTTTCTTACGTAGAGACAGGGTCTCACTCTGCTGCCCAGGCTGGAGTGCAGTGTGCACGACTACACCCGGCTAATTTTTTAGTAGAGAGAGGGTCTCACTATGTTGCTCAGGCTGGTCTCAAACTCCTGGCCTTAGGCAATCCTCTTGCGTCAGCCTCCCAAAGCACTAGGATTATAGGCATGAGCCACTGCACCCAGCTGGCAAAGTAATTTTCTATGGAGTGCCAAGACTTCCTGGCACTTACGCCTTCCCACAAAAGCAGGTTCTCAGGAAGGAGATTCAAGAGGTCTGCTAGGGGTAAAGGAACATAGCCACATCCTCCTTTTGATTTCTATTTTCTGATCAAACTTAACCATAGCCTTATCCTGCTCAACCACTTTGTGCCATTCTGAAGTCCCCTCAGCTCCTCCCTTCCCCCTCATACTTCACCACTTCAGCACACAGCTAAGAATCCAATCCTTTACTAGGCTAGAAGCTCCTTGAACTTTAGTCTGGGCTTTTTTTCTTCTCTTGGTGACAGAGTCTTGCTCTGTCACTCCGGCTAGTGTGCAGTGATGTCAGCACAGCTCACTGCAACCTCAAACTCCTGGGCTTAAGCCATCCTCCTGTCTCAGCCTCCTGAGTAGCTGGAACTACAGGCACACACCACCACGCCTGGCTAATTTTTCTATTTTTTGTAGAGAATAGGTCTCACTCTTGCTCAGGCTGGTCTCAAACTCCTGAGCTCAAGCGATCCTGCCACCTTGGAGTCCCAGAGTGCTAGAATTACAGGCATGAGCCACTGCACCCAGACTAGTCCGGGCTTTCTTCACTGCTGAATTCCCAGTGCCAAGTTCATGGTAGGCATGTAATTTGTGAGGATGAATACTTAACCCAGTCTTCTACTTACCCTCCATCCTCCCACTGTCCTCAACTGAGTGATTACTGTATTACTGGTGTATTCTGTAAGCCCAATATTAATTCACATTTCACTCAAGTTTTCAGTAAGTACTTACTCTGTTCGAGGCGTGGTAAAGGATAGAAAGATAACCAGCAAGGGTTCTTAACAAACTTAGTCCAGAGGAAGTTAAGACATAAATACACATAACTGCAGCAGAGGGATAGTGAAGCATGCCTTGAAAAGGATATAGGGAGACTATGAAAGTCATTGATATCATTGCTCCTCTCTAACAACCCTATGAAATTGGTACTATCATGCCCATTTTATAACTGTGGCACAAGAGAATTTTACGTAAATTGCCCAAGTTTACACAGCCAACAGATGGCAAAACTAGGATTCAAACACAGGTTGCACTTGAACTCATGTTCAAGTTACCTTTTGCCAGAGAATGGAGTTTTTAGGCATGGAGAATAACATAAGCAAAGAGAGCAGCAAAAGAACAGAGGTGCATTATAGGGAAGGGCAAGTAGTTGACTCAGCATAGAATGCGTAAAGGGGTAGACTGAGGCACAGGGTGAAAAGGAAGTCTGGGGCCAAGTAACTAGAAGTCCTTTAATGCCATATTAAGGAATTTGAACTTTAATTTGTAGGAGACAGAAAATCATAAAGACTTTTAAAGTCAGGGGATAAGAGATTTAATGATCAGTTGTGCTCCAATTTGGAAGATTATATTGGCTGCCTGTGGAAGGAAGGAACTGGAAAAGGACTTAGTGGGAAGACCAGTTGGGTAGTGACTGCAATCCTCTGGGTTCAAGGTGATGAGGCCTGAACCAGGGTCTTGGTGGCAAGAAAAAGAGAGCAAGCAGAGATCATAGAATCAGTAATTGGATGTGTCAAAGGTAATTCAAAGCTTTGGTGCCTGGCTGGCTGGTAGGACAGTGGTACCATTAACTAAAACTAGAAGCACAGGTGGAGGGAGGTTCAGATTTGGGAAAGGAGAGGAGTTTGGTGTTCAATATGGATTGTGTTCCTTTGGTGTCAGAGCTGGGTTGATCTCCCTTCTAGACAGTGGGCAGAGGAATGCTGACACTCGTTCCCATTTTCCCATCCCATCAACCAGAGTGCTAGAATCCCTCAATGAATTTATAGTTCTGTTAAGCCTTCATTTGGTCTACTTTTTTTTGAGACAGGATGTCATTCTCTTGCCCAGGCTTGAGTGCAGTGGCACCATGATAGCTCACTGCAACCTCAAACTCATGTGCTTAAGTGATCCTCCTGCCTCAGCCTCCCGAGTAGCTGGGATTTCAGGTGTGTGCACCACGCCTGGCAAATTTTTAAACTTTTTCTAGAGATAAGGTCTCATTATGTTGCTCAGGATGGGCTCAAACTCCTGGCCTCAAGTGACCCTCCTGCCCCAGCTTCCCGAAGTGTTAGAATTACAGGCATGAGCCACCATGCCCAGCCAGGTCAATAATTACTGAGCTTCTACTACATGCCTGGCATTGAACTAGGTGATGTAGAGGTGAGAGAGAAAAAATTTTTTTAAAATCATTTTTATTTCCTTGCCAAATCCTGATGTATGATCCTCAGCTAATAGTATTTTACTTTGCTCATAATTTTCTTGAACATAGAATCAAAATGTTTACTATGTACTCAACTCTATGTAAAACATCCAAAAGGGAGGAAAAAAGAAGTGTAAGAATCAGTTCCTGTCCTCTGAGAGGTCACAATGTTACTGGAATTGCACTTAGATTCTGAAACACCAGTAAGTTTACATGGGACAGGGAATTAGACCCTAGAGTCAGAGAGGCCAGCCAAGAAAATGCTGCAATAATTCAGACATGAGTTGGTAAGGGTGAGTTGAAGGTATCTCTGGCAAAGAAGAACGGAAATGGTTGACAAGGCCTGAATTAGTCATCAAGGGTGTAGAGGAGAGAGTACTTCCATGTTTCCAGCCAGGTGGCTGAGGCCTTGTCAGAACAAGGCAGCTGCACGTAACTTCACATAGCATATTCTATATAGACCAGTCTGCCTCTTTCACGTGTCATCTTCCCTGCTCTCAGAGAATCATTTTTCATTTTCTAACATCCTTTCTTTAGGGGCAGGGATCTTTGCTATTTTAGACAGGTAGATCTGAGAACCCAACCTTAGGTTCAAGTTGAAGAGCTTCTCTTTAATTCAGGGGAGAACACAGCTGTATCAAAGAGAGTAGAAAAGAAACAGACATTGCAAAAGGGGAAATTAATCACAACAAATCTCTGACAGCTTCCCACGCTAAATATTCCCTGCCTCTTTTGTGATTTTTTTGACATAGAAGACTAGGTAGGGGCTTTTATCTTCTCAGTAACAATTAGGGCATGTTTCCTTATACCAGGTATAGGCGCTCAAACATCATAGTAATATTAAAGGGCTGAGGAGAGTAATTCAAGCCTGGTATACAGAACTCCACCTGGAGGGAAAAGGCCAGGCAGATGATTCTTGTAATCCCATTGTCCACAATCCTAAAATTCAAAGCCACAAATTCCAAACCCATTTAGTGAGCACCTACATGCCATGTATTCTATTACATACAAATTATATGTCTAAAATGGAAAAAGAGGAAATAGAAGAATATTCTTATGGGAAAGAAGGTATACATTCCAAGACATCTACCTAAGACTGAAAGAAACTTAACTATTATTTCCTCCCACAACCATAATCCTTCCCTCTCTCCTTGGGCAGCCTGAGCCTTCAGAAGCACAATTCCAAACATCTCAAACTGGTTCACAGAAATTTATTCCTTGACTGCTTCAAACAAGATGTTATTTATAACCATTCCCAACTTGAGTGGACGGGGCAACAATCATGACAGACTCTGCTAAGTTTTCACAAATCATTGGTTTATTAGAAAGTTCCTTTCCCTCATTTTACAGCATATATATCTCTATCATGTGATAAAGTTAAATACAATCTGTTATGCTTGTAAGTAAGGATAGGTTATTTTGTTTTTCCTTTTTCTTTTTTTAGGTTTTAAAATCACTATTCTGGAAGTTAAAGAGAACTGCCCCCAGGAAGGCAGAGAGGCGGCCAGAGTATGGCTCAATCTACAAGCTAATGGGAAGCAGCACAAAAATGTTAATACTGCATTATTTAAATATTTACATGGGCTGA